CCCCAAAACCCCAAAACCCCAAAACCCCAAAACCCCAATGTATATCACCAACATAATAAATAAAAAGCAGAAGTATAACATTTACCTATAATATTAAAATATTCTAAGCATTAAAATCAACTAAATCCCAAATTTTAAATGAACTTAGTTGTAATGGGTAAGGAAAAGATTCATTATTTAAGTGGTAAAAAGTAGTCTCTTCCCTCATTTCAAAAATAGGCGCTTCATCATAGTCTTGAACTCTTCAAAGGATATCTCTCCATCTCCATTGTAGTCACCTTCACCTAGCAAGCTCTCCCAGAAATCATTGCTTACTTCTAGTAAGTCTCCTCCGAGCATAGACTTTATTTCTTCTATAGTTATTCTTCCATTCTAATCAATGTCAAATAGGTTAAAAGCTGCTTAAAGCTTATCATTAGTAAGTAACTCTGTACTTTGCATTGTTGCCGACAAGAATTCTAAAATTCAGGTTAAATTTTAGATGAATATATACCTGAGTAATCTATTGTTCCATTTTTATTGATATCTACCTAGGCTAATATAGATTCAACCTCTAGGATAGCTCTATCTAGACTGCCATATAACAAATTATAACCATTAATCAACTCCTCTTTGCTGAGGACTCCATCATTATTCTTATCAAATGATTTGAAAATTTCGGTCAGACGAGTCTTATCCTCTTTAGAAGATAATTAATTTGCCAAATAGGACATAACTGCTTACTGGAACTTTAGTTCTGACTAGTATTAAAATTGGTTAAGCAAATAATAATACATTGAAACTTCTTAGGTTATTAAGTATGTTCATTGCCATAGGAGGAGCTATAGTGTCTGAACTAGTGTATATTTTGATCCAAGGATCTGAGAGTGCTTGTTATGCACTCAATCTCTAATCAGGGTGCACTTGAAGCAGTTTCTTAATGAATATCTTGGCTTAATTTGAAACATTTTTCCATTCTACACCCTGGAAGCTTACAAAGCCCAAGGAAATACTGTCGAAGATAGCTTAGTCGTTCTTACCATTAAATGGAGGATTTCCGCAAAGTAAAATATACAGAATAACACCACAACTCCAGACATCGCACTTCTCATTGTATTTCTTTTTTAGAACTTCTGGAGCTATATAAAATGGTGTACCCATCTTTGAGTACATGTTCTTTTCAGGTGTAAAGGTCCTTGATAAACCAAAATCAATAACCTTAACGTCGAAGGAGTCTGGCTTACAAAGAAGCAAGTTTTCTGGCTTCAGATCTCTATGGACAATGTTTTTATTATGACAATAGGCGACAGCTGATAAAAGCTGTTTCATGATTTTAGCAGCTATATTTTCATTAAAGTGCTTTGTCTTCAGAATCAGATCAAATAGTTCTCCCCCTTCAAGATATTCAGTTATCAAATATATATTCTTCTGATCTTGATAGATTTCATATAGCTTTACGATGTTAGGATGATCAAGGACTTTGAGTATTTTTATCTCGTTATTGAGGTTTTACAGATATTCTTCAGCTGCGTCTTTTTTTATAATCTTCATTGCTCTCATTTGCCCAGTTAGTTTATGCATTACCTTTTTCACCTCTCCGAATCCTCCTTTGCCAAGCAAGTTAAGTATTTGATAGTCCTTAGTGATCTTTCCCTTTTTGGATGAGATCATATTAAGTTCCAATACAACATCGCTGTTCTTGGCCTATCTGTTGGATTTTCTACTCATTTGCTAAGATAGATTTTCGGCATCGTACTACTTGGTTTTCTCAAATTGCATTTAAGAAAGCATTCGCTAGTCTCCCTCAAGGATGACACTCATATTCTTATGACTCATATCCTCTTCTCCATCTTCGGCATCATCTTGAGCATTAAGACCATCTTTATGCTTAAATGTAGCTGAGTGATCACCTCCACCCCTATCTATCATACTTTTCCCTCTTTTTTTGGTGCCTTTCTTTCTTTTGGTTTTGGATTTTGAAAGCTTTCTTGCGCTTCCTTGCTTTTAAGTAGCTGAAAATATTTATGGTGAGTGCGCCTGTTGTTAGGTACCATTTATAGCAGTCTATTTTTAATCTTAGATAACAACTATGCTGGAGGCATTTACTGTTGGTCTATTATGCTCGTTAATCATGGGATTAATCTAATTTTACATGTTACTAGGAATACTGTTCTAGATATTACTGCTATCTTTTTACCTATTACTAATCAGTTTTCTAAGAGACTCTTGTTCTTCTCCCATTAGTGGAGGTTAATCCTAGTTTACAATTACCTAATCCTGGTTGCTCCTCCTGCTCATTGAGAGAATAGTTTGAACTCTCTCATTTGCCTCTGAATGTAGCTAGTTAACTTCATTCATTGGAGGCTACAGTGAGCCTAAAACCTTTAGTTACTTTCTTGCTATAAATTATAATGATTACCAGTTACTAACGCTAAAATTTTATTCTTACATTCTGGCTGAGGTCGAAAAGACTGTTTCTAATGAATCTAAGAGCGATTTCTAGAAGAAGTTTTAGAAACAGCAGATTCGGAGGTCCTGACTGAAGACTGACCTCGAGATGATGATTCTTCTAGGATCTCAGTTAAATCATCCTTTTTGTGAGAGGACTGATCATCCGCATCCGGATTTAACAAATGTGAGCATTACTTACAGCCCATTATTTATATTTTCTGATTCTTTTTTAATATATCTCATTTTATGATCTAGCTATATTTACACATTTTTACGCATTTTCAACTTGAATTAGCTGAGTGGGGTTTTGGGGTTTTGGGGTTTTGGGG